TTCCATCCATCCATCCATCCATTTTCCTCCGCTTCATCCGTTGTCCGGTTGCGGGGGCAGCAGTCTAAGCAGAGACGCCCAGACTTCCCTATCCACACACACTTCCTCCAGCTCATCTGGGGGGAGCCCAAGGCGTTCCCAGGCCAGCTGAGAAACATAGTGCCTCCAGCGTGTCCTGGGTCTTGCCCGGAACACCTCCCCAGGGAGGCGTCCATGAGGCATCCTGAACAGATGCCCGAGCCACCTCAACTGGTTCCTCTCGACGTGGAGAAGCAGCGGCTCTCCTCCGAGCTCCTCCCGTGCGACTGAGCTCCTCACCCTATCTCTAAGGGAGCGCCCAGCCACTCTGCGGAGGAAGCTCATTTCAACCGCTTGTATCCGCGATCTCGTTCTTTTGGTCATTACCCAAAGCTCATGACCATAGGTGAGGGAGGGAACGAAGATTGACCGGTAAATCGAGAGGTTTGCCTTTTGGCTCAGCTCCCTCTTCACCACGACGGTCCGATACAGCAACCGCATAACTGCGCACGTTGCACCTTCCCTCACTCGTGAACGAGACCCCGAGATACTTGAACTCCTCCACTTGAGGAAGGACCTCCCCACCCACCTGGAGAGGGCAAGGCACCTTTTTCCGGTCGAGCACCATGGCCTCAGATTTGGAGGTGCTGATTCTCATCCCAGCCGCTTCACACTCGGCTGAAAACCGTCCCAGTGCATGCTGCAGGTCCTGGTTTGTTGGAGCCAACAGGACAACATCGTCCGCAAACAGCAGAGATGAAATCCTGTGGTCCCCGAACTGGTCCCCGAACTGGACCCCCTCCGGCCCCTGGCTGCGCCTAGATATTCTGTCCATGAATACAGTGAACAGAACCGGTGACGGCAGCTTTGGCCGTGGCCAACATGCACCGGGAACAGGTCTGACTTATTGCCGGCAATGCAAGCACATCTCTGGCTCCAGTCATACAGGGGCCGAACGGCCCTCAGCAGAGGACCCCGGACCCCGTACTCCCGGAGAGCCCCCCAAAGGACACCCCGGGGAACACGGTCGAACGGCTTCTCCAAATCCACAAAGCACATGTGGACAGGTTGGGTGAACTCCCATGAACCCTCGAGTATCCGATGGAGAGTATAGAGCTGGTCCAGTGTTCCGCGACCGGGACAAAAACCACACTGCTCCTCCTGAATCCGAGATTCAACCATCGGCCGTAGCCTCCTCTCCAGTACCTTGGAGTAGACCTTACCGGGGAGGCTGAGGAATGTGATCCCACGATGATTGGAACACACCCTCCGGTCCCCCTTCTTGTAGAGAGGGACCACCACCCCGGCCTGCCACTCCATTGGCACTGCCCCCGATCGCCACGCGATGTTGCAGAGACATGTCAGCCAAGACAGTCCTACAACATCCAGAGACTTAAGATAAAGAACAACTTCCCCCTCCTGAGGCGCTGGACGGTTTGCCAGAATCTCTTCGAGGCCGACTGATAGTCATTCTCCATGGACTCTCTGAACTCCTCCCAGTCCCGGGTTTTTGCCTCTGCAACAGCCCGGGCCGCGGCACGCTTGGCCTGCCGGTACTGGACAGCTGCCTCAGGAGTCCCACGAACCATGTGCAATGTTGTAATAAGTAATCGTAAATTAATGATTTGCTAGAAAATTCTATGCATTGACTTTTGATAATTAGTGTTTGATGTACTTTGAAGTGGAAATAATTAAACACTCAACTGTGCGTGCACACACCCATACATAGATACATTCGAACTAATCTAGCTCTAAAGACACATTTATAAACATAGATTAAGGGGTAGAAAATGGATGGATGGATGGAAATTAAACTAAAGTAAAATTTGAATTGAGGTAATAAATATGTTATTGATAATTTTTGACAAAAAAACAAACAAATTAGTTACACTGTAATATACACTATGCTAATTGCAAAATAGCTATAATAACAGCAAAGGGGGGGACAAATTGAAAAAAATGTCTTGACCAGTACCACAGAAAGTTTCCGTCTACGTGTTGAAAGTCCGCTCAGGACAGATGGCCAGTGGGAGTATCCATGGCACACATGGCCAATTTAAAAAGGAACACGGTTAATTCAGCCCACAAATCCATGCTATGTAATTACATTATACAGTGAGACGCACCGTCCTGCATAAATATGCAAATGCAATTGTAATACAAAACTGCATAACTTCATGATGAGCAAGAGCCGTTTTAACACATCCCACAATGCACCAGCACTGTCCATTTTCCGCGGTATAACAAGAAATATGCATGTTATTAATAAATGGCAGCAGGCACTCAATAAGACATGAAGTGCTGAGTCACAGAAATCACACCATTATAATGTGGAGTGGGTGGAGAACGAGGGGGTCCTGTGGCGCGGATCACAGGAGGGACTCCGCTGGTCTGAATGATTTAAGAGACTTTTTATGGGGGAATCAAAGCCAGCACTTCCAAACTGGTTTCTTTACGCATAGGCTGGAAACATTAAATGCCAAGTAAAGCTGTAAAAATGATATGTTGGCTCATTTACATTTTTGCTGGGTTTTTGTTTTTTGAGTATTAAAATTGGTGATTCATTCTGTTAAAATTTGTTTTTGTTCATATTATGGATCACAAGATATGTGACAAAGTGGACAGACTAACAACCTGGCTGAATTTTTTCCAACACTGAGTCTTAGTGGGCCACAACATGCTGTCTTTAGCATACTTCTTGTGGCCATACCAGCATGCGAAACCAGATCACATCAGACCACTGAAGCGAATTTAACACCAGCAGACTTCAAAGTCCTTTTCTGTAATCTGCGATTTCTGTTGTTTGTACTCTTGACAGAACCATAATAGCAGAAGCATCCTCAAGACACAGAACATCCCAGTGATATTATATTTTTTTATTTAACAGCGGTTTATGCATAATCCAGGTTTCTATGTTCAAGCTCGATTTAGTGGCTATAAGAGCGGTGATAATAGAGTTATAGAAGTTATATCATTTTAATGAATATTTAATGCATTGTCTTTAAACTACTGTTGTCAGTGTTCACTGTGACTGCAAAGGTGAATGCATGTTAACAGGTCAATGGGTTACTTGCTAACCGTTGTCTTTCATGTTTGCATTGTTAATGGATGTCCATATGTCACAAGTTTGGGTTGTGAAGTGAGTGTTGGATTGTCAGCGTGAGATAAGACTGGAAACCTTTTTAGGCTAAAATGTTGAACTGTGTCAACAAACTAATGGTTTGGGCCATATGGAATCTGTAAACCTAAGGACTTCAGTGCATGCACAGTCACAGCACCCAAGATCATGCTTTAAATAACACTGAAAAAAGTGAAAAGCTAAGATAAGATATACTTTATTGATCTCACAAAGGACAAATTTACTTAAAGAGAGGGATCAGCTCTCAGGATATAAAAGATAACAAGTTTTCTAAATAGATAAAGATTTTTTCCCAACATTTTATTTCTAAAAGACTATCTGTTGGGACGAACAATGTATTCCTGAAACAAAAAAGACCACTGACCACTGTCTCTCCACTCACTCAGACTAAAGGTAGACATCACGCGACATTCACACCGTCCCTCAAAATGATACCGGTATTACAGCGAAGGGTGTTATATCACACTAGCTCCCTGTCACACAGAGAATACATTTTAAAATTCTGGTGTTGAAGGGCTCTTCATAGTCAGGCGCCTGAATATATCAAGGGCCTGATCCACCCCTATGTCTCCAACAGGAGCCTGAGGTCCTCCACTCAGGCCCTGTTGATGGTTCATCGCACTTGGGACCAAGCAGAGGAGACGGACCCTTCCAGTCTGTTGCTCCTTGCCTTTGGAATGAGCTTCCCCAATCTCTGCGCATGTTAGACTCTGTTGATAACTTCAAAGACCCATCCCACTAAGCAAGCCGACGTTGAATCAACGTAATTTGAACGTCGTTGTCCGACGTAGAATATAGGTCACTGGTGGGTGCAGAATGAAAGTTTTCTCGACGTCGTTTCCCGACGTCACCTCAACCTCCAAATGTTACGTTGATGGCACGTCAATTCAAGGTTTGAATGTGGTACGGAACCGGTCGGGTCTGACGTCCTATCAACGTCTCATATGACCAAAATATTGACGTTTATATGACGTTCGTTTTCAGTCGTTCCCACTAAGCAAGCAGATGTCAAAACAACATAATTTCAACGTCATCTGGACGTTCATTCAAGGTTGCAATGTGGTACAGAACCGGTCGGGTCCGACGTCCTCTCGACGTCTTATATGACCAAAATATTGACGTTTATATGACGTCCATTTACAGTCCTATTGACCTACTTAACCTAGGCAGAATCACTTACTAGTCGAGACATACTTTTTGCAATAGGCAAGGCAAGTTTATTTGTATAGCACAGTCAAAACAAAAGGAAACTCAAAGCACTGAACAAAAGATAGATTAAATCAAACAAGGCATTACAATTATAAATATTGACAGTAAATTAAAAAGATACAAATAAAATTTCTCATAAAATCTCTCAGTTGAAGCAGAAACAGAAGTGTTTTAAACCTGGATTTTAACATTGTCAAAGAAGAAGCCTGTCTCACATTTCCAGGAGGACCGTTCCAGATTTTAGCCTTGTGAATCTGAAATGCAGCTATATCATGTTTAGTTCTGACTCTGGGCAATAAACGATAAACACAGCATTCAAAAATCATTAGAGCAACTGTAGTAGAAGGATATCAGTCATTATTGCAAATGGAGGTGCATTAAAAATCATGTTTCTTTACATCAAAGTACAAGTCAAAGCACACAGGGCACAGTGTTATGAACACTACTGTACTGAACAGTTCATGCCAAAGTAAAAAAACATGATTGTAGCGCCTATGTTTGGATCAGTATTAAAACAGGCACAAGCTACACTCTAGGTTCCCCAGATGTAAAAACACAATCTGAAAGGCAGAAGAATGCATTTATTGAATGTTGATGTTCCAACATGTGTCCTCTCTTGGTCTTCAGTCTCTCATCACAAGGTCCAAGCACAGCACCTGAAAATGTGGAACATGTTTAGTTTCAACGTAATGTGGCAAAGTGATATAACAACACATAACTTTCTATTAATGCCTCAAACCACTCGATCCATCACCATGTGATACAAACCTTGGCACTGCACTCGCTCGAGACACTGGAAGACACTCCGTCTGAGAAACTTGGGATAAGGCTTTGGTCATTGGAGTAATTCCATGTAAAAACAATTGCAAATGTGCATTTGTTTTGCACATGGACACATGAGCCCTGAAAGCTACTTACCCTGTATTACTCTACACATGTTGCATTTCCGAGGGGGCATTTTCCCCTTGTTGCTCTTTTCCCTCATCTTGAGTGAGTTGCTGAACAATCTGAGAAAAAGATAGATGTTTTCAAAGAGAATACACCAAATAATGGTTTATTCTCAAAACAACATAATAATACAGAATAACAATCAATGTGTGAGAGTGTGATTCTTACCTTTGAACACCTTCAACACAGTCTGACACCTGTAAGACTCAAACACACATGACACATTAGGAATACACACAGAACATTAGTTATTGCAACAATCATGAAATTATACTCTATGATTTCACAATAATTGACTGCATTAGCAAAGGTAAATGTATTTTAATTAACATATGGCTGGTTTTAAAGTTTATAAGAAAAAGTAAGAAATTGAATAGAGTTGCAAGCGCTAGTTAGCTTGCTACCAGCAGATGAATGGATATTTAATATTTGCAGCTAACAATAACAAAAATAACAACTGTAGTGGCTCATTTAAACAGCCACAGTGAGAAGAAGTGAAAGTCTCTGACATTGGAAGATTTAATGGGAAGACATTAAATCCATTTATTAAACAAAGCAATACACGAACTCTTTCGGCAGCAGGTAACATCTGTGTGCTCCTATGGTCCCACATGGTCCCACACCTGGGGCCGTATTCCTAAAGATTCTAAGAGTCCTCTCAGAGAGCTCCTATCTTACCCTAAAAACTCCTAGCTAGGAGTCTTAGCTTAAAAGTTATTCCAGAACACTCTTAGAGAACTCTGAGCAAGGAATTGACAACAACTTTTATCTTAGTGAGGAGGCGTGGCCAACCCCGTTGCTAGGTATGAGTCATCATTTCAGACGCTGTGATTGGTTGATCTTAAAAGTTAGTAAAAACATATTTTTGATGATAATGGGCAAAATAAGGGCCCTAAAATGGACAAACTCAATCATGGAATCTAATCTTAGGAATACTGTGTTATTGTAAATAATAACCAAACGCTATAAAGTCAGATATATCAATGGTGCATAAATACTGTGAATAGTAAAGTTAGACTTATACACCATCATCAGAGCTTGCTCAGCACCAATTTCTAACAAATACATAGTACGTATATATCATGAGCACTTATAATTTTATATTATATATATATATATATATATATATATATATATATATTTATGTATATATATACATACAATTTAAATATTACTCTATATATAATATACATGAAAAAGAAAATTATTATTATAAATATTATATGGATAAATGATGATAGTGATAACGTTAGGATTAGTAAAGGCTGTGATACTGACAGACGTATAAGGCATTAAGGAAACAATATTAATACAAACATATTATACATACAATGTACAAATCAAGTACAAGGGAGTTTAAAAGTCTTAACCTCTCTCACTCCTTTTTGAGCTGGATTGTTGTTAATAAAACAAAACTGTGTATTTGTACTTCTATTCTGTTGTTGTTTTGTTTGTTTTTGTCCTTTTTTCTTGTTTGCCATGGCTCAAAATAAAGTATTCATTCATTCGTACTGAATGTGTGAAAATGTAGGCCCACTTGTACAGTATTAACGCAATAGTTACATTTACTTGCTTTTATTATTACCATGCTGGTTATTTTCTCTCTTTCAACTTTCACCATTTCTACCTACTTTTGTGTAACAAGGGTAAAATGGATGAGTTGTTATTGCTGACCAGCCAATAAGAAGCTGGTCACATGATTGACTTTTAAATATTACAGAAGCATAATTCCTGCTCGACTCGCTCTGTAGCGTTTCACTGATTCACTGTCATCCAGTGTATAGAATATTTCTCCTGTCTCCACCGTCCACCATTTTGAGCTCTTAGGGAACTTTTAAGTCGCTAAAAGTCCACCTCTCAACTCTTAAGGGATCTCCCCTTAGGAGCACTAGCTATTCTTTAGGAATAGCTTTTATCTTAACTAGGAGCTACTCGTCACTTTTAGGGGAAATTCTAAGAGTTGGTCAAGATTCTAAGAAAATTCTTAGAATTTGGCTACTAGGAGCAACTTTTAGCACTAAGAATCTTTAGGAATACGGCCCCTGAACTCAACTCCAACTGATGACATCACAGGTGTCTAAATGATGGGAGTGTCCCAAATATTAAAGCTGATCTCCCTGTTTTTAAACTTAGTTTACTAAGTACTGTTGTCTTTTTGCAGTTTATAAACCATTGTGAAATATACAGTAACTTTACATTTTGGAATTGAATTATTATTTTAAAACTCAAGAATCTTAACCTTTTTTAACACATAGTTTGTTGGACAGTCTAACCTAAGAATTCTAATGTGTTAAAAATAGTTTGAAATATGAAAAACAATATCATATTTTAAACTTTAACTTAACTCACTGACTGCCAGGCATTTTCAGATTTGAGAAGTGCGTTCTGCCAGCAATTTCAGGTGATTTGACCCAAATTTGAAGTGCCACAGAATATTCATTTTTTAGACGATGTAAACACTAAGGGCACCAAATTAAAGATTAACCTCTCTGCTTTACTCTGAAAAACAACAGTTTGTTTCTACCTCTTACCGTTCTTGAGCTATTCGCCATAGAACAAAGCATACTTTCACCCACAACACCTGGTCTGAGCAAGAAAACAGAGAAAACGAGCTGTATGTAAACAGGAACATATCAAGCAGAAAAGACTTTTAGATGCATTTTTGCTGCTTTAGTGACAACTCAAAACATCTTCACACTTGTTCCATTACAAAAATTATAAAAACATGACTCTGAAATAATACTTTTGATGGAAAATTGTTGGCAATTTATTCACAGATAGAAAACCACTCATCCGATAAATCATGATCAGGTTCTCTGAACGAATCCGAGGCATCAGTAACAGCAGCAGCTGATACGCTGCGAGAGGCGGAAGGTGTGTCCCTGCTCCGGGCTCTTGCTCCGCGCAAATGTGGCTGCAGAGACGGACCTCCACCGGGGTCTCCACTCTCTCCCCTCTCGACCTCACTCACTGATCCGCGAGTCAATCTCTGAAGCAGTGTCAACTGCTTATAACTATTCTTTTTCGCCATCACTCCTGCTATACTATTGCTAAACTAGATCGCTGATCTGTCTCAATGCTACGCTATCATCGCTCGCTCTGCTACAGCAGCACGCTCTCCAAACACTCCCACACTCCTCCTCCTTCTCTCCACTGACTTATGACCTCTCCTGTGGCACAATACTGCATCCTACTGGTATTGATTTATCATTACAGGTACATTTGCACTATATATCAGTATTGTGGGTCATTCACAAGGTGCGCCAGACATTACTGTAGCCTCCCGTGTAATAACATGAAAAACTCGTCAAACTCGTCATGGGCAGTGAGCGTTACTATTCAACATGACGAGTTTTGTCGTGATTGGGCAGTGAATGAGTTAAAAACTAAAAAAAGGTGTCTCCCTTTCAGCTGAGCAGTGCCAGCCGTTATTATTATAGATTCATGCACTGGAAATTCAAAATACAGATAATATACAAAATATACTTAACAAAATCCACGTATACGTGAGAAAACAACTTACTTTCTGTCTCCAACTCTTTTCAATGTGGAAATGATACATCTATATCTAAAAACTGTGCAGACTGTGTACTTACTAGAGAGGGTGATTCCAAGTAAATAAAGCAGGGCAGCGACAGAGGTACAGATTCAACGTCATATCAACGTCTGGGAAGACATTGCTTTACGTCCAGATGCACACCTTACGTCGTTTAGACGTGGAAAACAGGTCGTCGACCGAGCGACTCACGTGTCAGGCTGTAACCTCGCATAAGTGTGCGTCGGTTGTTTAGGGTGTTAACTATTATTTTTTCCCAGTGGTCAGAAAACATGCCTGGCGGTGGTGTAGCGGTTGCGTAATGAGACTTTAGTCGCAACGACGCGAGTTCAAATCCCCGTTGGAAATGTTTTGACTTTTCACTTTTTAGCGAACAATTTTTCTGTTCTCAGACTCAACATAAGATTATGTAGTGGCTAATAATAAAACTTGTGAACCCATGCATTTGCATAAAATCTCAAGTGCTCACCCCTTATTTGCAAACTTGAGATTGTTAGCACAACAAATGCATACATTCACAAGTTTTATTATTAGCCACTACGTAATCCTATGTTGAGTGTTTATTAGTCTTTAACCAAACAGAAAAAAATAGTTCGTTAAAAATCAAAACAAATACGTAAAGATAATAATACACACACGTGGGCTCGAACTCACGTAACCAAGGCTGCACGCATTTGCTTAACCACTACACTACCATCAGGTACACAGAATTTGCTTCACAGCCTATATATTCTATTGCTAGATCAAGACGTACTGCGTCGGTCGGCCGATGACCTGTTTTCGACGTCTAGGGGAGGTCGGGATTGAACGTCATATCCACGTATATGGGAGGTCATTGTTTTACGTCCAGATGCGCACCTTGCACAGACGTCGTTTGGACGTAAATAAAAGGTCACGACCGACCGACGCGATATTGACGTGATCTGGAGGTTGAGTGGACGTCGGATGTTTAGTAGGATTTGTTTAGACGGGCATTCTTGCCTCACCGTACATAGGCCTCTGTGAACTGTGTCAATAATGAGGACCGTTTTCTGTATACAGTGCCTTGCGAAAGTATTCGGCCCCCTTGAACCTTTCAACATTTCGCCACATTTCAGGCTTCAAACATAAAGATATAAAATTACAAAATTGTTGTCATGAATCAACAACAAGTGGGACACAATCGTTAAGTGGAACGGAATTTATTGGATAATTAAAACTTTTTTAACAAATAAAAAACTGAAAATTGGGGCGTGCAATATTATTCGGCCCCTTTACTTTCAGTGCAGCGAACTCCCTCCAGAAGTTCAGTGAGGATCTTTGAATGATCCAATGTTGTCCTAAATGACTGATGATGATAAATAGAATGCACCTGTGTGTAATCAAGTCTCTGTATAAATGCACCTGCTCTTTTATAGTCTCAGGGAAGACTGATCAGAGATGCAGCCAAGAGGCCCATGATCACTCTGGATGAACTGCAGATAACTACAGCTGAGGTGGGAGAGTCTGTCCATAGGACAACAATCAGTCGTGCACTGCACAAATCTGGCCTTTATGGAAGAGTGGCAAGAAGAAAGCCATTTCTCAAAGATATCCATAAAAAGTCTCGTTTAAAGTTTGCCACAAGCCACCTGGGAGACACACCAAACATGTGGAAGAAGGTGCTCTGG